ATTAACAATTAAGGTTTTAATACATGCACAATGTCAAAGGTATAAGTTATTAATCACTCAAACATTATAAAATTATGGCAACAGGTATCTTAAAAAGTATAAAGGCAAAGTTTTAAACATACACTGTGGAAATAACAACTGATCTTGTAATTCCTTCCATCAGTTCATTGTTTTGGGAGATTTATTGGAAATACAGTTATGCTTTAATTTATAATAATGTTCTTTCCAAAGGTACTGTAAGTACTTCTAAATAGTAAGAGTCTTTATCATGTTTGCACATTATATTAGATTCATCAAGTTTTCACAGCACCTTCATCAAGGTTCATAGTACCTTAACAGGCAGGTAGCAATAATCATTTTAAGCTGTGATACTGCACCACTGGCATCCAAGGCTTCACTTGCAGTACACAAGAGCAAAGCTGCTAACGGCAGTGCTGGCATGCCATATTATGCAGCACTTAAATACAGCCTGAAGTAGCTTAAAACTGTAGATGGGGAGCGAGACTAAATTGAAAGGAGAGGGAAAAAAAGGCAAAAAGCAGGTAGAAGAAAAGACAGCAGGAGGAAAAAAACAGTGCAAATAGGAGCAGGGAGGGCAGCTGTTGAAAATTTCATGGGAAAGGAGAGGAAAAAAAGATTGGTCAGGAATGACTTTGAAATTTTTCTGAAAGGCTAAAGTCAAACAGTCTGTTTAATTTAGGGAATGGATGCTGGAGAAAGTACTGTAAGCAGTATAGCTCCATAATTTCAGATTAGAAAGGCTGTAAACCTTAAGGTGAACTTGTTAAAAAGGACGCTGCAGAAGTTGGTTAAAAAAAAAAAAAAAAAGTAATACTCAGGGAGACAGCATATTCACATTTTTCAATGCAACCCAAGATTTTATATTTCTAACAATCTGTTCTGCAATTATAAGCTGTTTTTCTATCATTTCTCATAAGCTGTTTCAGATTTACACATGTAGCCAGTCTCCATCCTCAGAGTCTTACTCCGGGACAATTCTTTCATTCCTTCAAGCGTTCCAAAACACTTCAGCTTTGCAAGTCTCAACTACGTTCACATATAGGTATTTCTGACAGCTGTGACTAGCTCTGCATTGAAAGACTGAAGAAGGAATGAGGATAGGAAGATTGGCCCTAGGTTAAAAAGCAAAAAAAAAAATCCTAGAAGAGTTAAGTATATCAATCACGCTATTTGTTTAGCTCAGCTGCTTTGTCTGTATCATTACCATATTACCTACTGATAACTGCATTTACTGGGTTTGCGTATCCTGATAGTCACAATTAAGATAAGTTGAGTAAATAACTACAGTAATTACAAGAATTTAGAAATCTATAGTTATATGAGAAGCTACCTGTGTATAATCATAACCTACCAAATTACGTGGGGGTAGAAAAAGAAGAAGGGCAGCAAAAGATATAAGAGAAGAGACCATAACCCATATAAAAGTTATTCTCTCTCTGGTTAGATTTACAGAGAGGCAAGCCTTCATGCTGGCTTCTCTTTTCTTTCTGTGGGACAGTATTTTAAAATTGCTGACTACTCCTGCTTATCAGAATGCTGTGTGAAATAAAGGCTAAAAACCCTATTTTTGAAATAAATCATTCCATGAGAAATTACTACAAGGAGCCTCGTGTCTCTATTAGTCGTATATGCAGCTACTACAGTTGTACATGCAACTCTGAACACGTTCACCTGATGTTCTTCTCATCCTTTTCTGTTTTCCTTGCCTTCTCTCACCACCTTTCCATGCAGTCAGCTCAAAGGTAATGCTATTTTAAATGTCTTTTGAAAAGCAAGCAATTATGTAAGGAATTGCTTACATTTAAATTATTTTCAGGAAACTAATCATCTTTAATATTAAACTTCTAAGCAACAGAGAGTATTGCTTTAACATTCCAAATACTATTTTCTCAAAAACTGGGACTCTAAAGCAACAAGATACTCTCTATTCTCAAGCAGAGATTCATTATAACTAGGATAAGTTGTGCTTTGTTACAACTTTGTTAGAGTCAAAGCTCACTATTAACTAGTTTCCTTATGTAAAGCTAACTATAACTATATACATTTGCTCAAGTCATTAGTTACTGCATATATAAAACTCAACTGAAACTACAGACAGAAATGGGACGTTAGCCTTACCATAACTTTCAAAACTCAGTTTTATAGCCTCTCCCACAATGAGCTCCTCTTTAATCAAAGATACACAATCATTGTATTTGATATCCAAGTTGACATACTTACACACTCAAGGAATAGAAAGCTCCAAAATACTCTTTGCAATGTTTGAAATGTGCCCACCTGAAACAAATGGTTAGGCATCTGTGTTTTTTACATGCAGACATGTTTGCATCTGCATGTAAAAAACTGGAAACCACGCATGTAATTTAAGGTCCAGGTACATCCTGTGCCTAAGAACGTGTGCATCGTTTCACTACGATTTTCTTTATGAAGTGGATTGTTTTAAGCCAGCCTCCCCGAACAATCGAGTCATAACTCGGGCAATTACACGGCCCACAGATGGCTCTCAGGAAAAGTTGCCTACTTTCAGGGGTTTCAGAAGCCTGTCTCGTTTCAGGGCTCGGGGGCCGGGCACGGGCGCAAGGCCGCCCCCCTCTCCTCCAGGCGTTACTGGCGCAGGCTCCTCGGCGCGCCCCGCACCGCTCCGCCATCCCTCGCCCG